ACTGGTTTTTGTCTGGCTTTGTCATTCACCAGTGCCGACAAACATTGCTCCAATCTTTGTGTCAGCCAGTGCCATTAATGGAACAGCAGGAATCATTAAATGGAAGCCAGTACCTGATACCAGAGAGACGGCCAAGGGCAAAGTTTTTGGTTACCAGGTCAATATCCAGCAAATATTTCTTTAAGATAAAATTGCAATTTTTTTTTAGACTATTAGGATCTGTGATCTCATGTTCTTTTAGTTTGAAAAGGTAGAGATGGTCAGTCACTTCAGCCATCAGAGACTTTGTAAGGATGTAGGTGGTCTGTCGCTTTGGCCTTCAGAGCCTCTGTAAGGATGTAGATGGTCTGTCAGTTTGGCAATCAGAGACTTTGTAAGGGTGTAGGTGGTCTGTCCTTTGACCATCAGTGAGTCTGTAAGGGTGTAGGTGGTCTGTCCCTTTGGCCATTAGAGACTCTGTAAGGGTGTAGGTCATCTGTCCCTTTAGCCATCAGATTCTCTGTAAGGGTCGTCTGTCACTTTGGCCATCAGATACTCTGTAAGGGTTTAGATAGTCTGTCTTTTTGCCCATCTGAGACTTTGTATGAGTAGAAATGATCTTTCACTTTGGCCATCAGCGACAAAGAAATTTTTCTAACTCTAATTTTTTGTAAAACGAAACTCAGCAAACACAGAGCAGTTTACAATATTCCCATAATACAGATAAAGTAAAAAAAAGAAAAGAGAGAACTTAACTCTTCTGTTTAATTTTACATAATTTACTTTTAAATTTGTGTGTGAACTATGCCCTCTACTTGTTAAAATCTTTTTTTAGGACAATGCCATTTATAACTGAGAAAAAATCTTTTAAGTTTAACTTCAATATATATAGAGTTATTTAAAATTACGGTATCTATTAATATTATTAAGATAGAAGGGCCTATATACAGATTATATTGTTCATTTTTCATTAACCAACTATTCACTTTCTTCGAATTTTCTCATAAAACCATATTTTTATATACCAAATGAGTAAAAGTGCTAATTTGTTTTCTCCTGATATTCAGGTCAACTACTGGCTGGAGGGTAATACCCGCTGTTTGGGTCAATATGAGGATCAGGCTTTGTCCAATAACTTTTATGGAGATGTTTCTGAAGGTCTGCTCGTAGGGATGGAATACTCTGGGGACTACTGTGTTAATATCCAGTTTATCAACCATGCAGGCATGGGACCAAAAACAGACAACTACTACCTTGGCATGAATGATGCTCGTAAGCTATTTGCCTTTAAAAAACATAAAAATACTATAAATTTCACAATGATATTTTTTTATTAATAAATTTTTCATGTGTGTGTTTTGTGGGGAAGTGATATAGCAAAACTTAAACAACTTAATACTAAAATTGTCGTTTCTCAGCCCCTGGCCTGTATCCAGAGTATGTCACAGTTATGTCCCATGGCAATGAGAGTGTCCGGCTTGTATGGAGAGGAATATCAACTAGGTTTGGAGAAGATCCTTTACAGGGATATAAGGTACCTAATGTTATTTTAGATATTGTTTTACTCCTAAAAATGTATACCTTTAAATGTTAAAAAATAAATTAGTATAAAATTTTTCAAAATTTTAAAATGTCAGTGGTTTCTGACAATTCAAATTAATAACTTCTTGCTGCCAAATTGCTATACTTTAAAACTATATTTTATTTTGTAAATTTTTATTCTTGTATAATTTTATAACTTCAATGTATAATAAATATTTAATTCTTTTTTAAATAAAACTTTATATGTAAATTGTAATTTAAACTTCCTTTTGTCTTTTATTTTGAAGATCATTTGCTTTACTAGCAGTTAAAGAGCTTTATAATGTAAAGCAGGCCTGCACAACATACGGCCCACGGGCCACATGCGGCCCGCCAGCACCCACTTTGCGGCGCGCAAAATAACGAAATATTCTTTATTCTTTCCTTTATAGCTTCCCCCGCCCTACTTTCTTTTGGCCCGCACAATTCTTGTCCTATTTTCTTTTGGCCAGCACAGGTTTTTCATAAAGTGTTATGGCCCGCCTTACATTTTGAGTTGTGCAGGCCTGATGTAAAGCATAAGAGATAAAATTTCGGTCATGACAAATAGTTCGGATTTAAAAGGCTAGTTAGATTTAAAACAGTGTGTTTAACTTTAACAAATATATATATTGATATTTTAAATTTTCTGATTTTTTGAGAGTTGATAATTGTTTCTTCTAAGGTTTGGTGGTGGGATGCTAGTGAGGATATTCGTACTGCTAGAATTTCAACATATGGTAGAGTAACAACAGGAGTAATCCATGGAGTAGAGAGAGACATCATCTACAAACTTCGTATTTTAGGCTACAGCAATGGTGGGGATGGCAAGAAGAGCCCAGATGTTTTTTTCACTTTAGGTTTGTCATGATTTCAAAAGCCATCATCTGATAGTAATCCAAAAAATCTTATTTACTTTTCACAAAAGCATAATATTCAAAATGTATAACAATGATAATTATTTATATTAAAGACTTCTAAAATTTAAACTTATTTTAAAGTAGGCTAAGTACGCTGTTTGTTTAAACTTTTGCTGTAATTGCTGCTTTAAAGTAATGGTAGGATATTTATTATTATTTTCAATGTATAATTTTCACAAAGCAAAATTGGAGCTGAGTAGTCCAAGTGGAGTAATAAATTGTGTCTTCACTACTTTGGTTTTAAAATTTAAAACACAATATCATGTGTTTTTTTTTTAAATTAAATATTTGGCCTTTGTCTCTAACTTCTTATGGGCTCTATATTAATAAGAGATCTTGAAATATTTCTGGCTCATTCATTCAGGTGGTCAAGTTCCATTTGATCCAAGTACTACAGACATCATGAATTCTGCCCTAACTATTCAACAGGCTCCAATAATAAGAGTCTTCACTGTATACATTTGGTTTTGTTTAATAATTTCATTATAGTAAAATAATTTTAGGCAAAATTTTTTTTAAGTGCTAGCTTGTAAATAATTAATTCTTATCTCAAAACAACCCCAAACATTATATAAATGTGATGAGAGAATTGTGGGATTTATATAAATACTGTTGTAAGTAAAGGTTGCAGAGCTTTGTTAGAAGTTTTTTGATGGTGCTTAAGACTGTCAGATATTAGAGGTTGATGAAGATTGCTTCAGATTGCTGGGGTGCTAAATATTGCTATGGGTTGCAAGAAGTTGTTCAAGTTTCTTTTGGAATATTGGTTTGAACCATGGATAAAGTAAGTTAAAAGTAGAATGAGACAGGCTGAATGAGACAGGATGTGTTGTACATAATTTTATAGATAAAAGAATAAAAGCTTGAAAGGCAAGTGATTTTTCTGTGATCTAAATTATTTGAACTTTGTTTGTTAGAATAATCAGAAACAACTTAAACACTTTTAGTGATTTATTTTAAGACATAAATTTTTGCAAATGTGTCTGTCATACTGAACAAAATTGTCCAGATGACAGAAATAGTTTAAAAAGTCTTTAAAATTATATAAATGTATGTCCATAAAAGACATCAATGATGATTTATATGTGCATCCATGGTGATATGAAGGCTCATACCACAAAAAGTGATATTTTGTTAAGCATAAGTGTCCATAATGAAATGTATTTCCATAATTAGTTAGAAGAAGTATGTCCATAACATTTAGTATTCTATTGAAGATTGTTTTATGCTTGCAATGAAAAGAAAATTCATATTATGTTAGGCTTAAGATGGTTGTCTTTAATTTTTCTTTGCTGTTGATACATTTTTATATTATTGTTGTTATCATGTGTTGTGGCTGTTCATGTTTTTATTGCTATTGTTGATTCCTTGACAATGTTTTTTTCATAATTTGCTGAGTTTTTTAAAATCTTTTGAGGTGTTTGTGTGGATAATTTATATTGTTACTTTTCTTACACACGTTTTAATTTTTACCATTGGATTCCGATGCGTTGATAGGAGTGTCTCTTACTGTCTCTTGAATAATACCTTCTCATTTTCTTGCATCCCAAATTCGAGTCTATTTTTTACACTCTTATCCACCCCTTCTTTTGCAAATATTTTTGGATTCTTATGTTAAAGACATATTTATGATATTTGGGAATCTATATCAAATTTTACTTGTTGTACCCTTATAAATAAAAATAATAATTTTCAGAAATAAATATATTTAGGCATGTCCAACAACAAGCAGTTGTATGTTTATATTTCAATAAACTAATTCATCAGATTATAGGTTTATTCTGTCATTTTATTTTTTGCTGAATTCAACACTCTAGTTCTATTCATAATAATGAGTAACGAGTACAGAGAAGCATGGTAGTTACTTAATGAATTGATACACTAAGTTTTTCTTACTTCTAATATAGGCCTATATTTTTTAATCTCTTATTTTTTAATTCTTAAGGTATACATCTTTGTCCCTTCCTAATAGATCAATTGAAGCATCATTTATATTTAATTGATTTAAGTAGGCCTATTCTTCTATAGAAATTTAAAACTAGTTTAGGCCTAGTAAGTAGTGAGGTGTTTTTAATTTCATCTACCGGTATTTATAATTATATTGCCCCTAATCTATTTTATTACGTAAATTGTATTATAGACTTCAGATGTTTATTATGTTAATCATTTGGGCAATATGGTAGTTTAATATGTACTTAAAGAGAAAAAAATTAATTTAAAATGAACTTGGCAACTTGGTAACTAATTGTATATTTGCTACTCCGTTGTTTATTCGCGATCACAAACGTTTTGAATGGTAAATAGCCTTTTTCTCAGTCTAAGAAAATTATAGTTATTGTTAGCTGTATGTAGGCTATACTAATTGGAAAACAAGTGAAGTCATTTAATGCATGAATTAGTCCCCAATATAAATATAATTCATATAATTTTACAACTTAAATGTTGATAAATACAATTTAGTTGTTTTTTTGTTTTTTTTAATGCTTAAAAAAATTAATTGCACTATCCGGCGAGTATTTCGGTAATATTTCTGCCTGTTCTGGTTGCTGTTCTACTTGGCCTACGCCTACACAGTTTATAGTTTTGATTTTTAATACTTTTAAAATACTTAATCTTGTTTAACTTCAGATTAATAAATATGGATCAGGACTGCGATCTACTATTTGAAGCTATCAAAACTGGCAACAACAGGCAAGTCGAAACGCTATTAGAATCTAAACGATGCCACCCAGATAGTTGTGCAAAAGACTCTTTTAATACCCCTGCTATTGTCATGGCAGCTCAACTAAATCACACGGAATGCCTACAATGTCTTTGTCTCAATGAAATTCGAGCTAACGTCGATGCCACAGATTCAATGAATTGGACAGCAAGCATGCATGCTGCAGACAAAAGTTTTATCGAAATTCTTAGAATTTTGAAACATTTTAATGCAAATTTTAATTTGATCAATTTGGATGGGTCAAATGCACTTATGGTGGCAGCTAAAAGTGGTCATGATGAGTGTGTTCGCTTTTTAATTAACAGGACATTAAATATCAATCAAGAAAACAGAGAGGGATACACTGCACTGAGTTACGCAGTTCAAGCATGTAATGTTGACACAGTCCAGATGTTGTTGGATGCAAATGCCGAAGTGAATGTTGTTGATCATGAGAAGGGTTACTCTCCTCTTATGCATGCCCTAAACTCTATAAAGCTACACACAGCCATTGTACTTTTAAATAGAAAAGCTGATGTTAATGTAGTAGGCCTTGATGGCAAAACAGCTCTATCTTATGCCTTTCATTTTGCTTTAAATCACTGCTTTGGAGACACCTTATTTGCTCAGCTGGTGTTGCTTCATGGTGCTGATATGAGGCTGTCAAGATCTGACCAATCATACTTACATAAAATGATTGCGACAGGTTCATTGAGGGTCGTTAGACAAATGGTCTTAAATGGATGTCAGCCTTTTGACAATAGTTGCAAATATTGCTTTGGAATTGAACATCACGAAAAGCCTGTTTCGCCTTTGTATGCTGCCCTGTTTTCAGGACATGACAACATCGCTCGATACTTCATAATAAATAATTTTTATACACATTCTGACATATGCAGTTTAACAAGCAACCAAGAACTGCAAAAGAGGTTAGAAGAATGCAGCCAGTATAACAGTGGATCAATAGCTGTTCTTAATCATCTGAGAGTTTGGAGTCCTCATCTGTCACTTTACAATGTTTGTTTAGTAGCTGTGCGTGAAGTGCTCAAATTTCACATTCAGACTACAAATACAATGATAAAAACTTTGCCTCAAAAAATCCAGGATGATTTACTCTTCAAAGGCAAATGTTCCCATTTATGTACACGGGTGTGGTGCTTTATTTCATAAGAGCAGGAATATTTGTTAGAACCTTGCTTATGTGATGATTGTGAAGAGGAAAGAACAATATGTACAAATAGAAAATCAATTAAAGGAAACATAAATTATTGTGGCATAAGACTTAAACTTAAGTAAAAGACTGGGTTCAGTTTTCATGCAAATAGTCTGAAATGGAATTAATTATTTGTACTGTCAACATGTAGTTTGTAGATTATGCATCAGGTTAATTAAATATTTTCAGACCTTCACTTTTTTAAATTGTTTTGACTTAGGGTTATCTCTAAAGTCTATTTATGATACAGAATGGGGTAAATAAATAGAGGCACATTCTAAGAGATGGAAAATATTCATTGCCTTACATCTTTAACCTATCTCCTTGCAAAGGCTACAGGAACAAACCCATCAGAATAATCTAGAGCCAAGGGCCTGTTTGACTTTGAACTTCATTTATTCTGATAAATGTATAGATTAATAAGACACAAACAAATTGTGTCAATAGAACAATATGAGTTACGCTTTAATAATAATTATACATTATACACAAACGTTTCGGCACATGCCTTCATCAGTACAAACAAACAAAAACACATTTAAATAAGTATAAATTAAATTTACATAATATCAATATACATATCCTACCTAAAACAGAAAAAATATAGGAGAGGGCGCTAAAACCAGACAAAAACAAAGTAAAGAGAAGTAGAAAGGAAGTGATTTTAACATAATGTGAAAAACCAAACAGGAAAAAGACATGGCAGCAAAGTAAAATTGTGGATTTGATTCAATCCATATGGAGACAATGTATAATTATTATTAAAGCGTAACTCATATTGTTCTATTGACACAATTTGTTCGTGTCTTATTAATCTATTTTTAAGCTTTATCGCAGTCCAACAATTTTTATGATAAATGTATAACATGCATTTGTACATGAAACTCATGATTTTCTAACACAAGACTGAACAGAATAATATTTGAGAAAAGCATAAAGTGAGGGACTAATTAGATTTATCGGCAGGAGTATGTGTACGCACATTTTATTTTTGAATGTCTAAGAAGTGATCTTATAGAGTTGCATATCCTGTTATTATATCAAGGACTATTTTATTGTGTTTCATGGAAATAATGTGCTTAATGATTAATGTGTAAAATTGGACTTGATAATTCATTTTGAAAAAGTGGCCGTTAACAGTTGATTTAAAAATTAAGATTACTATAATCAATGTAACACACTCATTGGATGGATAAATAACTATTGGCTTGTGTCCACCAGCTATGTGGAGATGGAGTATCTGTTGATTCCATAAAACACAATAAGCTTTAAAGCTTAGAAAGTTTCAGCAAGAACTAATTGTCTGTTTGAGATGGACTAATGACTCCATTAACTCATCCCAAAACAGTCTTAATAAACTTTTCAGTTATTTGAGATCAGAAATGCTTATTTACTTTTCTGGTGAAATATTTATGTTGATCTAATTAAATAGATGATTACAATTAATAGAATAAATGATGCACCAATTACATAATTTTGCTGTGAATTTTATTCCAAAGCGTCATTGTATTTAATAATGAATGATCTGTTCCTTAAACTTAAATACAATTTGCAAGGGAAAGAAAAAAATAAAAAGTTCTCAAAATGACATGAAATCAACTTTTATTACAAATCTTAAATGTGAAAGAGGATGCACAGTACACCCGTTTTGTTTTTGTTGGTTTTTTTATTTTATCACAGTAAATTGTTCAAGTTTCATGCCATTTGCTCCTCTCACATCCATCAAAAGCAGGTAAATATAACACTGACACAGCTATCATTATAACATCAACCAGGCAACTTTTTTAAACTTATATATATATATATTTATATATATATATACATACACACATTATACATCATGTAACATTTACTCAAACATTGTTGAGTTAGTGTATCGTATGTTCTGAAACCAAATGGTCACCAGATATCTAAAAGAAACTAAAATATGCCTCTTCAAAAATGATAAATACTAGTACATTCTTTGACATGAGACCACTAAATATTCAATTTTGTTTTATTTTTATTGTAGCACTTTTGGATGTTTAGGCTACAGCATTAATTGACAGTATGGTATGTCTGACACACGCACACACACAAAATATACTATTTTAACTTGCAGTAATATGACAAGCACAATAGTTTTGATCAGTACACATAGCAACACGCCTCTTATTAGAAGTCTAACCCTTTAGTTATTCCTTGTATATACAAAGCATAATATTTTTAAACCATAGTACTGTAAGTACGATTATACTTATACCTTTAGCTTCTGAGGAAAAAAGAAAAATATCATGTCTTTTTGTAAAAATACTGAAAATTATACAAAGGTATCTATCCACTAATAAAAAAAATTGTAATTTGTGTCTAAACTTGTGTATAAACTTTGTAAGTTCCCTAGATAAAGAAAATTACCTATGCTCAAATAAATTAAGTTGCAATTCTTTTGTTACATATTCAACATATTTCTGGATGTGATTATTAAATTTTCTTTCTTTGAAATTTCAAACACCTTCTATTATGTACTTTAAATAGCCCATTCCTTATGACTATTATTTTAAAAAAGTAATCCCTTTACTGGAGTAACTTTTAAATAGTAATGTAAATTTGTTAATCATAATCCATCTCTGGATTTAAAAAAATAAAACTATGACATAATATAGTACCCTAGAATTAACTAACTTTCTATTTCTATAGTACCGGTAATATAAAAAATAAAATAATTAAAATAAGACAGAATTTCATGTACCCAGATACAGTGAATCAATTATAAAAAAAAAAATTTTCAATGGTGTTAACAAAGGACATCTTAAATGTCACAATAAGTTTTATCCCAAATCATTTACAGCTGGAAAGCTTGTATTCTACTACATAAATTCCATGAAATTCTTCTTGTATGTGTACTCAGCGAAAATGAATGAACTCCTCTGAAATGCTTGTAATGTAATAGCCCCTCAATAGTTAAAATGACTGACTTAATTAAGAACATTTTGTTAAGTTGTCTTAAATGTCTTTTTGCTTGGTTAAAAGTATAAATGTAATTGCTGCTGCAATAAGTTTCAACTTCAGTTCTGAAACCTGCTTTTTTTTCCAGGCTAAATGTGTGTAAATTGCCAAGTAGACTTTTTAAAATTTAAATCACACCAAGAACTATATCACTCAATCGGTTTGTTCCTGGACTCAAATCCTAGTAATAAAAGAAATAAAACAGATTCTAATTATATCTCAAGCATATTAAAATAAAAATTAAGCATTTAGATGAAGTTACTAAAAGGATCAGGAATGTGTCTATGCTAAGCAGCAACTGTTGGTACAACAATCACAAAGTTCTAATTACAACTCTATTAAACCAAATAACCTGCATATTTTATAGCCAGCTACAAAATATGTATACTACCTATATACTTTATTATACAAAATTACTTAACATTTCCCACCAGTTTGTACAAGTTTTCAAAAGAATTGCAGCTTCCCACCAATATTGAAAACACTCAGTCCCTCATAAATACATGTGACGCTTCTAAATTTGATTTGTTAAAATTGTCAGAACGTGAAATAATAAAGACCAAGTGGGAGCATTTTCTAGATATGGTAAAAACAATAACTGTTATTGCATACATTTTTTTTAGTTTTTGTTATGTTTTATGGCACCAAGAAATGAGAAGCAGTTTTATCGAATGATAAAGAACCATTGAATAGAAATAAGTCTAGCTTAAATATAAAAAAAATCCCAGTAATTGAGTAATGTTTTCAAGATGTTAATTATTTTCTCTTTCTCAATTCTAGTTGCAGACAGACTAAAATTTGTTTGTATTATATAAAAGGTTCAAATGACTTTCCTAACAGTGATGCATAGATGAAGTTACCAACAACGCACTTTACAGTTACAACTCAAAGTGATTGTTCCATTCCATTCAGCCAAGAAGGAACCTAATACCCAGTTTCTTATTTATTATGTTGAATATTAAGTCATCAGTACTTTCAAATATGTCTGTCAACATGTTAAAAGTTTGTCACTACGTCTGTAACACTTATAAATCTATCAAGTAAAATCTGAGGAATTGTGAGGATTAAAATGACAGCTATTTATTTTCAGCAAATCTGCCAAAAATCTGTTTTTCTTTAAATAATTTATATACAAGTATTTCAAAATATTAATGAAGACTTAGGCTCAAGCGTACATCTTATCTTCTATATATTAAGGGCCCACTATCAATTTATTGATTGTACATGGCCTCATTGTTAGATCTTCCTGCTTGTCAAAGGAAAGCAAATGGTTTGCTATTAACCCAATGGAACTGGTTCTACACAGAAGGAGAATAAAGAGATCTTTTGGAGCCCGGTACAGTAAAGGTCTGTCATATTGTAGGAAATTTCTAAAATAATCAAATGTTTGGCTTTGGTACACACACAATTATAAGAGTGTGTTGAAAAGTTAAAACGTCGGTCTCATTTCATGGTTTACACACAAGAACACAGCACCAAAAATATTTAGAAATGTACACATTTTGTAAAGGAATGGTGCTGTTAGTTTCACGTTAGATTTAGCAGAACTTTAACAAAGATACTACATAATTAATGTATGAAAATAAATTTGTTTAACTAACTTATTTAAATGAAATTAAAAGAATCAATCTTCAAATAACCGAAGGTATTTAATTTCACTCGCAAACACAGATAAAGTGTATCGGTATATGTATACCCTTTTGGAGTGGGCCCTTTAACTTTGTAGGTCATTTCCACAATCCTAAAAGTAATTAAGAAAATATTCCAAACACATATTCAGTCATTTCATGCCATTCAAGCTGGGATGTAGATCTAACATTTTTAGTAATTGTTAATGTGCTTCTTTTTCTTCAAATTTGTCAGTATTATTTACTTTAAAAACACTGACAATATAGTTATATCTCTACCTCTAATGGAAGTTGTTTTTTTATATACCATAAGATATAAGAAAATTAAATCTATATCTACGTAACATCTTCAGAAATTGCAAAGTATAACTTATTGAATTGCTGATGCTTTATTATGGGACTGCTAGTCTAGAGCACAGTTGGGGGCTGACTCTGGTTTGTGACTTGAACTGTGTCAGGTTGACACAGAAAGTACAGCTGCACCACTTTTTACAAGTGTATTTTTGACAAGAACAATCAGCGCCATGGTGACGCCTGTGATCTCTGTCATGTTACATCCATAGGGATACCTGTGTCTTTATTAAAAAGAATCTCTTCATGATTGGATCTGAAAATAAAATTTACATAGTAATTTACCATCTGATAATAATATTCTTAAACGACTAATTGTACTGTATTGGATTCAAGTACATCAATTAAAAATAAGAGTCTGAAAGCCATGTTTGTTTATGTTTGCAAGGGTTGAAAGACTTAGAATGGGTATTCTCAAATGTAGTTTTTGTAATGTTGCGTTTTGTATTTCAATATGGTATAATATAGATTTTTTCATTTCTCTTTTAATATGGTTGATTGAACCGCACTTCGAGCCTTAGGGGATGAAGTGAGATTTTCAAATAAACTTTATTATTACTGTCTTCGATATTTATACAAATGAGGTGACAGAAATCTTCAAGCCTGCTTCAAATGTACAGACTGGGACACATTTATAAACACTTGGCCTGACATTAACAAACACCGTCAATTCCTACATTAAGTTCTGTGTAGACGAAATAATTCCCCAAAAAACCATCCGAGTATTAAAGCATCCGAGTATTCAACAAAAACAAACCCTGGATGAGCAGAGAAATAAAGAAAGAAGGCCATACACCACAAGAAGACCATGTTTAAGATAACCATCAGGAATTCATTAAAGCTAAAGAAATATTGAAAAAAAAAATATATCGGGGTAAAAAACAATACAAACAACAGGATATACTCCTAAGCGAGAATGCTTATGTGTTGAGGACGTGAGGAATTTTGTTAACGACTTTAATGACTTTAATTGTCGTTTTGACAGCCTGGACTTTGGAGAGTGCACAATGAGATGATGAATTCATTTAAAGATGGCAGTAGTACACAGGATGGTGCTTTATTGTTCACTGAACAGGGAGTGATGTCATTATTTAAACAAGTGGACGCAGCCAAGGCCTCGGGACCAGACAAATTAAGTGGTCGGCTCATAAAACTATGCACTGAGCAGCTCTCCTACATTTTTTGTTACATATTCAATAAATCTTAAGTAACTCACACAATACCAACAATTTGGAAAACTTCAGAAATCATACCAATTCTAAAGAAAAATAAGTTAACGTGCAACAATGACTTACGACCTGTTGCACTTACCTCTATTGTAATGAAATGTTTTGAGAAATAATTCTGAAAGAAATTCTGAATGAAGTACAGCAAAAACTTGACCCCCACCAATTTGCTTACAAACCTGCCAGAAGTAGGGAGAATGCAATCTTACTATTGTTCGAGAGACTTTACCAATCACCTAGACCAGTGGTTCTCAACCTTTCTTGTGCAGCGACCCTTTAATAGTTTATCATGTCGTGGCGAGCCCCTGCCACACAAATATTTTCGTTGCTACTTCATAGCTGTAAGGATATGTGTTTTCAGATGGTCTTAGGCGACCCCTGGGAAATGGTCTTTGGGGGTCGCGATCCACAGGTTGAGAACCGCTGACCTAGACTGTCCTAAAACATACGCCAGAGTGCTTTTCTTAGACTTATCAGCATTTAACACTATCCAACCACACCTTATGATAAAGAAACTTTCCTCGTTAGGTGTCAATTTAAATATTCAGGCTTGGATACTGAACTTTTTAACAAATCGACCACAATATGTCTAAGTAAATAACCAATTACCTCTAAGCAGAGAAATAAGCACCGAGGCACCACATGGCTGCGTTCTCTCTCCTTTACTGTATACAATATATATAAATGACATTCAAAGCTCAAGCGACACCGTTCCAATTGTTGGCTTAATATCTGAAGGAGAAGGCCTATACCGCAACTTAGTTACAAGCTTTATCAATTGGTGCGATGAAAATTTTCTCCAGTTGAATGTCTCAAAAACAAAGGAAATGGTTGTTAATTTCAGGAGGGGGGAACACCAGATTACAGATCTCAACATAAAAAAATCAAAGTGTAAAGAAAGTGGAGGCATACAAGTACTTAGGTGTCACTATTAATAATAAGCTAACATGGCATGAGGACGGCTAAATGATGTATAAGAAATTCAACCAAAGACTGTTCTACCTCAAAAAACTGTACAATTTTTGTGTAAACAGGCAAGTCGTTAACTTATTCTACGGTGCAACAATTGGAAGCCTGCTTAATTTCAGTATTACCTGCTGGTGTGGGAATTCAACGTCTGATATTAAACACTGCATAAACTGACTAATCAAGAAAGTTAGGAGCATAACACAAACTAAACATCCTTCACGTGAAGAGCTATTTGAAGAAAGATGTTTTTGTAAAACTAAACACATTTTGGATGATACATTCCTCCCTCTTCATCACAAATATTTAGGATCAGGCCATTCGGGACACGGGACAAATTCTTTTCATCAGGGCCAGGACTGACAGATATAACAATTCTTTTGTTCCCCGAATCGGAACGAATTGACCGCGCGCTTCCTCTGAAGTCACACATCTTAATAATAATAATAAAGTTCATTTCAAAAACACGCTTCATCCCCAAAGGCTCGAAGCACGGTACAAAGTCAAGAAAAAACATATCTATAATTCACCACATTTAAAACAAACGCAACACTACAAAAACTAATTACAAGCATATAATATCAAAGTCTTTCTAGCCATTTCAAACCGGAGCAACACAGCAACACATGGAAAATAAGGTAGACAATCATCCCAGAAGGTATTTGCGAAATAGATGTGTCTTTAGATCGGTTTTAAAGGACTCCAGTGTCTGGTTGTTTCTAAGATCGACAGGAAGGGCGTTCCAAATTGTTGGACCCGCAAATACGAAAGTGCGCTTTCCGTAAGTCTCAAGGCAAACACGTGGTGTCGAGAGTTTGCCATTATCGGATGAGCGGAGCTCTCTACTGGGTACATAAGGCGTCAGCAGCTCTTTCAGATAGGACGGCGCCAGGTCATGTAAGCAGCGGTAGCACAAAGTTGCGATTTTGTACTCTATGCGAGCACGCACCGGCAGCCAATGCAACTCTCTCAGAAGTGTTTTTGCATGGTCGAATTTGCGTTTGCGGAGAACTATGCGAGCCGCATTATTCTGTGCTATTTGAATTTTATCCAGGAGCGTAGCTGGAAGACCCACCATGAGAGCATTGCAATAGTCCATGCGTGATAGCACAAATGCAGACATCAGCCTCTTTGTTGTATCAATTGTTAGGAAGGGCCTCATTTGACTAATCCTGTGCAGCTCCAGAAAAATCGCCCTGCATAGCATGTTAATATGACTTTCAAAAGTTAGTCTTCTATCTAGGTAGACACCCAGGTACCGCACTGTTTGAGCTAACTCAATACGCACACCTGAGAGAGTAATGGATGTCGTGTTATTTGCAGATTTCTGCTTCTGAGCGGTCGCAATGGGGAGCAGCTCAGTCTTATCATCATTTAATTTGAGCTTGTTAATGGTCATCCAGTGCTTTACCGACTCCATTGTCTTCTGTGTAATACTGAGCAGCTGAGGGAACTGAGAAGTGATCACGGATTGATGAAGTTGTGTATCGTCCGCGAACATGTGATACAACATGTCAAACTGCCTGATCTCTGCACCCAGGGGCTGAATGTACATCGTGAAAAGCATCGGGCCTAGGACCGAGCCCTGGGGTACTCCAAATTTCGAGATTAGATTTCTTCGAGGTCAAGCCGTTTGAAATAACTGACTGGACCCGATTAGTCAGATACTTATAAGTCCCCGATTAGGCTAAGAGAACTCACTGAATGGCTGTTTATTATAAATTAGTTGTGTTCAAATTGTTTTATTTATGTGCTGAAAATGTATAATGCAATCAAAAAACATTTCCATTTATTTGGATCAATAAAAGAATCTTATCTTATTAACTATGACTGATATAAGTATATACCACTCTCACCACTCAAACCATTCTTTGTTATACCCAATACAAATTAATACGTTCAGAGACCTTGTATAGACTAAGTTTAAAATATTTTTCAGTTTATTTGGAACTGCCATAATGATAAGAAAGATAATTCATTTTATCAGACTCATCTCATAACAGCTCTGTACAGTAATATATGGATGATCTCTTGAATAGAAAAGAAAAAATATCTGTCTACCATTTGTTCATTTAAACTTTTACACAGTATACCTGAGAATGTCAAAATTGGAAGTCTGTGTTGCAGAAACTGGAAGTTTGTATAACGTCCCAGCAGTGGTGGAGGCAGCCACTTTGTTATTTAGAGGTCTTTGTAGCTGCAGAGATGCATTCCCTGTGGATGAGGTAGTTACTGGTGCAGCAATTGATGATGGTGCAACAGTAATAACAGCTGGAGTAGACACCAATGATGGAATAGTTGTGATTAAAGAAGCTGAACTAGCTGGAAAATTGAGCTGAAGCACACTGGCTGCTGGTGAAGTTGAAAGCCCACTGGACTTTACTGAAAGTAAAACAAAAATAAAATTATTTTAGGAACAGAAAGATGAACATGGCAGCAGATATGTGACAATATCATAGAAGTATCAAACTATAAAAACTTTGGTGTAAGAAAGACAGTTAACATGTACAAAAAAGTGAAAGCACTATTAAGATGTACAAAGAAAAATTCATTAGTAATCAATTTCTATAAATAAAATGTTTTTTCTGTCATAAATTAACAAAATTAATCTTGTAATTAATCATCTAATATGTTGGTGGGACCCTCTCCAACATCAAACATGGCTGTCAATTTTTTTGTTATGAATTTCACACCCAAATTATTGCACACAAAAAAAACAGAAAACACTAAAGTCAACACAGGGATAGAAATGTTAACAGGAAGCAATACCGGTAGAGTGATTTCACCTCAACCAATATACATTTTAACTAAATCATTCGCAAATTTAATGACAATTTTATATAGCGGATGATTATATATGCAGTGAAACCATAGGTTTAAAAGATGCCTAGACATTACTGAATACTTAACATCCACACAACGCAACAAGAAACATGAACATCTCCCATCACTGCATACACAATCTAACATGGTAACTTCCTTTCTGAACAGATAACCATAACTTGAGTGAAAATAGCTTGTGTCAAGACAAATTTTGTCAAAATTCTAGATTTTCTACTGTTCAATAGGAATTTTGTTCCAAAAAAAAATTGAGCTAGCCATCCTACCCCCCCAAAATGACTTGGTAAATTATGTGTGTTGGACATGCCATTGCCAGTCATGGTATTGCCGCCCCTTGGTGTTTAATACATTAAAAAGGCAAGTATTCAAAAATGAATTTTAGTTGGTTATTAATTTTATGCTGGTTTTTATCCTTAAAATTCATTGTTAAACCATGTGTGGCAGTTACGACTAATTATGGCTCGTTCCGTCTTAGGAGATTGAATTTCTATTCCCAGCCTAAGGCAACCACACACACCCCCCCTCCCAATGGGGTATTCGTATTGTTTTTTTTTCACCCTATTAATTTTGTAATCTGGAGAAATTCAAAAAATATAAAAATAAAAAGTCTATAAATTTGATTTAAATGCTAATTTACAGATTGGTCTTATACTCATTAAATAACAGTGAGAGAATTATCTTTAACAAATTACCATGTGTCGATGATAATGGGCCATTGGTTTTATGTGGCAGCAGGATGGTAGTTGAAGATGCTGAAGATAAAAGTGACACTGAGGACGGTAAAGCTGATGATGTTGCAGCATTTGATGGCAGTGTTACCTGAGGTAATACTGGTGCTGAAGATGATTTATGAAGAAGAGAGACAGACGCAGGTAATACAGAGCTGGCAATTATTGGTAGCTTTGCAATCATTGCACTGTCTGAGTGGGATATTTTTCCTGAGGATATTGAGTTTGCTAATGTTTTCCCATTGGTTCCGCTGGTCCCTGCTGCATCACCCGATTTATTTATTAATGAAAAACTGAATTGTTGTGAATTTGTCCGACTTCCCACAGGAGAAGCTGCTGCTGTACTAACACTGCTTGGAGTTGTTCCTTCTAAAACAGAAAGAGCAACTAAATTTGGAGAATCTACAAGGGCTCTTACTGCAAATTCAGCACTGGCAGAGTCTAAAGTAAAACGAGAACCCAATTCACTTTGTGTTAAAGTGTGTTCAAGGTCTAATGTTATTGAAGTATCACGATCATCTTCTGTAAATAACTTTTGCTGCTGTTCTCTCTGCATCTCCAATAACTGTTCTCTATGTGATTGGAAGCTCTCAACATCAAAATCAGACAAAGAATGAGAAAAGAAACTGCCACCATTATGGCCACCTCCACCATGTCCATTACTTGAGCCAGATGAAGGGGAATGACGTGTTTCCTCAGGTGGTGGTGTTTTTGGCCTGTAATGGGGACTGTAAGGAAAAAAAAATTTATTACGAGCTTTTTATGGCACTATGCACATCTGCACTCGATGGCATTACATTATTTTCAAATCTATGTTATTTTACAGGTATAACTTTGGCATTAAGTAAATAACAATATTCTAAATATCTAAGTTTAGTATAAGACTATGGTAATTTAGTTAATACTGATAGGAACAGAATCATATAAATTTAACAGTTTTAAGAATCAACTCACATATGATTGTCCCTGACGTAGGTAATATAGTCTGAATATATACTAGAATAATGAGATGAATTAAGGTCCAGACGTTCCAATGTCTCATCCCAAGTTGTACTAGCCCGGTCAAAGATAACTCTGATGAAACAAACAAAAGTTCAAAAGCAATAAGAAAAAGCCCTAAGAGCAAATACCTCAAGTTAAAACATGAAATGCTTAAAAATACAATAAAGAAATTTTTGAGGATGTCAGAATAGTAATTTTTCTTGTCAGAATAGTAATATAACTGATGATGCATTTTTACCTGCCCCCTCTACCTATCCTCCTTCGAGCATATGCCATACAGCCTGTTGGTAATGAGGTGAGGGAAAAACGAAAGCGCTTATCTCCTCTACCACCCTCTTCAGGTCCATGCCATGGCCAGTTGCCTAATCCTGAATGAATGGGCTGTAAAGAACAAATCATTGTTTTAAAGGTCAAAAAGACATTTTAAACATTACCTGAGCTGCTAAGCTTACAACTTAAAAATGCTGTTAAGAGGAATACATAAAAATAATTGCAATATGGCTGAAAAAAGATACAAGCAGAGCTGAAAAATGACATAAGATATTAGCAAATCTTACTTGATGATAATGACAGTGCTTTCTTCGCTTAAATGCAAACATTCCATCTGGATCATTTTCATCCTCATGGTCTGACTGAGACATTGCCTGCAATGAAATAATTGAAGCATAGACTTACATCCAATTTTTGTTGCTACACAAACACACAAATCTAGCAATTCATTGACCATAAAAGAATATAACTACTAAAACTTACTGGAGACAACATGTCATCATCTGAACTATCCATAATGTCGATGTCTCCACTGGAATGTTGCTGATGCTGAAAATGAACAGCTGTATGTGGAACAATTTGGTTTTGTTGTTGCTGCTGAGCTTGTTTTCTTTTGCGATATTGTCTTTTTTTCCGAATAGGTGCAGTCTCTTCCTGTTAAATAAAATTGCAATAATATTATAATGATTTGCATTAGTAATGGAAATATCTGCAGAGAAATCTTATACGATAAATCAAAATGCATATAATAAAACTCTTAAAATACAAAAGTACTGTGGCAAAATGGAAATTTAATAATATCTTTAATAAAATGAATACAAAAATGTAAATTTTAACAAAACAGCAATAAGAAGAAACTACTACCCATCATTGTAGGTCCAAATGTTAGTTCATTATTGGTCCAAATGTAATTAATATTATTATACAGAGATGTGACAAGACAAGATAACGTTTTCCACAGCCAAGGGGAAAAAATTTATTTGATGCATGTCAGACATATGCTTAAGTCTTATTTTATCAATAAGCCATTCAAAGTGATCTTTTAATTAAAAATCACATTTTAAAATGATATAACACATGATGACATAATAGAGTAAGGTAAAGCCAATGTCAACAATGAAGAAGATTTTCTCCTAAAATAGGAAGTCTCATCTCTGATTATGACCAATGAATTTTTAAAGGTCACATGAAGATTTTATTTTACCACTAAATATAATGCCTACTGTTATGTAGCTTCTAACAAATCGCGAAGACAAAGTGAACTGGCAGTTTGAAATTTCAAGAATTTCCATCAAATAATGTTAACTTCATGCATTGTAAATTTTGACCCTATAAAACTTCTACTTATAAAAAATTCTTACAAAAGAGAAAAATTTTTTTGTAAATCCTAGTTACAGTACAGATTAAGTTAAACAATACATCTCCTATATCCAACAAAAAAAAAAAAATTGAGACAAAATTTCAATTTTTATTTTGAATCCAAAAATTCAATAATTTGTATTCATAAATAATTAAAAACACTCCAACTATGAACAGGATAAATGGATAAACCAAAATGAGTGGGGTTCATCTTCTTCTCTAAGCAGAGGAAAGATATTTTTGATACAGAAATGTGTCACACCCCACTCGTTTAACCAACAGAGGGCGCAACTTACCCCCTTGTAAGTCTGCACCCACTCCCCACGACTGTTGAGGGCAAAGGGAGGGACAAACGTCGGATGTTTTTCTCTCTCTTCCTCCGCCTCTGCGAGCGCGGTTCCGGAAAAATCTTCCATTTCGTTTCTGCGGGGTGAGTGAGGAAAGTAGCGTAACAATGCATATTTGCTTTGCTACTTACCTACTTAATTAATTTTCATTTGGAGTGCCACTTTTTTTTAGTTGAGAGTACTTAATATCAATATAAAATTGAAACTGGGTAATAGCTGATACATCTTAACTAAGCTAAATACAGAACAGAATAAAATACAGTCCCTTTGAAGTAATCATCAGCACTAAGAATAAATGTCCTTTTTGTTCAAAGAACTCTTTAACTCACCTTTTCTCTAAAATCTCAATGGTTAGCTGTAGCAACTCTTTCTTACTTTTCTCTCTTCTTTTTAGTAGTTCAAGCAGCGTGCTAAAAAAACAAAAAAACATTTTTTAAGATTAATATTAACCTAATACAAGTAACCACGAACAATCAAATATTACAAATTATAATTCACTAGTAGTATTAAGCAACCCAACACGCCTGCTTGTGACAGTACCTAGAAAATTTATAAAGAACTTTGTAAAAAAAAACAAAATTGGTATGATAATTAAATGTGATACTCTTAGAATTTCAACTTAAATGGTTTTTGCTTTTTATTGGTCATTCCTATATTAATTTTTTCAAATGTTCCTCACAACAATGTCAGACTGACTTATTTCACATTAGCTAATCTTGCCAATCAATCATGGCGTTTCATCTCATACAATGAGAGTAATGAAGCACATGTAGCTCATATGCACTGTTTATCTTTTCATACATTAATTTTTGTTTAAAGTAAGGCCCACCCTAAAAAAAAAAAAAAAATAGCTACCAACTTTGGAACACAAGCTAAAATAAATAAATTAAATTTAACAACATTAATCTGGACATTACAAACCATGAGCATGTGATTGTTGTTATACCTCACCTTTTTCTAAACCTTTTTTTTTTTTTTTTTTTTTTTTTTTTTTTTTTTTTATTAATTTTTATATATTTTTTTTTTTTTTTTTTTTTTTTTTCTCTCTTTTTTTTTTTTTTTTTTTTTTTTTTTTTTTTTTTAGATAATTTGTTTTATAAAAATTTTAAGAACATTGTCTTAATAAATTGAAGGCTATTTATATAAAGAATTCATGCATATTTTCCTTAGAAAGCATACTAAATATAAGTAAAAGAGAAACACAATTTTATACACTCATATACTAAAGTAATTTTGTGGCCTAGTAATAATAATAATAATAAAGTTCATTTCAAAAACACGCTTCATCCCCAAAGGCTCGAAGCGCGGTAAATTCATACTCATACATGTATTCAAGTCAATCAAGTGAATAAATTAGAGCTTAATTGAATAAGATGAAACCGAATGACTACACAAACACACAAGATCGCAGGAACAAGAAACATTACAATAATGTTTTAAAAACATAGACTTACAGAGTCTTCTGCAGGTCCCTTCTTAGCTTGAGCATCTTCTCATAGGATACTTCATCATTTTTACGATTCTGCAAAAATGATTAACCAAATATATGAAAGGAGATCCTATAATTATACTTACAGTTATAAACATATTAATGATAATTATTCAATAGAGTAGAAATACCTTTCGAGTTTGCATTTTTTCAGTACGCCTTCGAAATGCAACATATGGATTATTAGTTGTCGTACCATCTCTTTTTTCTGACTTAACGGTTGCTATGAGAGGACGTTGCTGTAAAGTAATAATAGACGTGTTAATACAAGCCAATTATGCATTGAAATTACAAATTACACACAAATTTTAAAAAACTGAAAACTTAACAAGCAAAATAATATTTATACCAGGTACTCAACTTATATGCATATTTATACCCCCATCATCAACTTTATATACATACATTTTACTTCTTTATCATTTCTTTACTAGACTGATTTAAATAGGGAACCTCTCCTTACATTTTAGGTCATCACATACTATCCATATTCAAATTATTACATTAAGAGTAAAAAGGAATAAAAATGTTACCATTTTGAGACGCTTATTTAACCAATAGTCATAAACAGCAATAATAAGATCATCATCCTCTTTCAGTAAAAGCTTTGCTTCTTGAAGTGTAACAACCTAGCAAATAAGTAAAATTAATTATTTTAAGTTGAAAGACAATACATGATAAATGTAACCACTAATCAAATTATCATTGAACAAATGCATAAGATATTAGACCAATTCATTCAAAAGAAAACTCACTTGTTGACCACTCCCTTTCTCTAATCTATCCATCATTTCTTCAAATTTAATAGGTGTTATTTCCATTTTCTTGCTTTGTTCATTCAGCCAGGAATCATCATCACTGTCCATGTCATAATCAGGTATTTCTTGATCCATACTAAATGCTACATTACAATAAAAAAAAAACTATGTTACAAAGCAAAAAGGAAATTATTTTAGAACTTTTGAGAATTTAAGTTTTAGACAAGTACTTTATATCCTTTCATGTTAATCTATATCCTTAAATGTTAATCTAGAAAAAAAAAACGCTATTTAAGAAATTATAATAACCTTACCCTGTATATGGATGTACTGCTTTGTAGGCTTATATGTATCTGGATATAGTAGGTGATATCTTTCTGAAATATCTTGCACTTCTGGAATAGGAATAACCAGAGCCTCTGAAGATCCATAGACTTGCTGGGCTGACAAAGCACGTTGGAGGTGATGTTCCTAAATAAAAATTTAAAATAACATGATTTTACACTTTTCAAATAACGAAAAGACTAAATTAACTCTTTTTATTCCTCTTATATAGAGCGTACAACTATATATGTCAGTTATTTTCGTTAATAAAATATTGCCTTTTTTATTTATTAAGTGCTCTATGCCTATATACATTTAAAAGAAAAATATATTAAAAAATAATATTTAAAGATTTTAAATAATAATTGATTTTTTTTTTTGCGAGTTCGAAGTTCATGTAACATGCCAAAGCGCTACTCGCCATTTTAGACAAATTTGTGCAAGACGCTTGTCGACTCGGCAGCCCAAAATTTTAAATAATGAATACTTCGGAAGAAAATATTTATCAAATTTTATATAAAACATCTGGGGAAGATGTTTGGGAAACTGAATCTAGTGACTTTGATTCAGATTTTGACGAGAATCTGCCTTTATAGCCCATTATAGTCCCTAAAACTAGAAGATTAGTAATCAAGTGTTCCGTCATCCTATATTTTTTTTATAGATTTTGTACTTTTATGTTTATTTTATCCGTTTAAATTGTGTTTTTAATCATAATTGAAGTATTTACTACCCATTTTAAAATAAATCTACGCAAATAAAATCATTGTCTAATTTTATATTTTATTACATAAATAATTTTAGAAGACGTTATTCTTAGAAACTGTTGCTAAGGAATGTAAACAACGCAGTCGGCACTGATTATTATGATATATTTCATCCTAAAGGCCATGAAATTTGACATCGTGTGTTATAAAAAATTAATTATCTGACACTAATTTTTTTATTGTCATAATGGTTTTTAGACAGTATTTGAAGCATTAAAAACTGGAAATTTAAGTAAGTATATATTTTATATTCATTTCATCCAATATAGGTCTATAATATTAGTTCTTCTTTTACATCCACAGGCTAGTCTTGTATGAGGTTCGAGATGATGAACTACTGGTTCCCACTTCTAAGTTTCCCCCAGCCAGAAATCCAGGCTGACGTGTGGGAAGAAATGTCATCATAACATGGATACAGTCTGCATCCTAAAGTCTAAGGATTTTCAAGATATGTTTCACACTGAATTTGGTTGAAACATTTGTAAAATGCATCTATTCAACTACCATGGGACTTTCTAAAGCTACCAATCAACTGTGGTTTGTTGATATTTCAACAATATAGCACTTATACACATTTCTAGGACTACTAATGTGCATGTCAACTGTACAAATCCTCAGTGTACAAAAATACTTGTCAACCGCAACGTTTCATTACTACCATGAATTGTGGGCTCATGCCGTATTCCCAAAAAACAGATTTATTCAAATAAGACATTCTTCAAAGTGTATAATATTGTAACAGACAATGAGAACAAACTGTGCAAAGTGAACTTGTCAGACTTTATCAGAAGTAAAGAAATATAAAAACCAAAGCAATGTGATATGATGTGATTGATAAGAGATAATATAATTTATACTATGTTCAGTGGAGAGAAAATTAGACAAGCCTCACTTATTTCAAATAATATGACAGCAAATGGATTTTCTTTTGTGAACAAAACCAAAACTGATGGGGTATTTCTATGCAATTATTGGGGAGAAAAGCAAATATCAAATCAGATTTTGAAATCATACAATTCATTCCTGTGTCCTGTGTGGTATTGACCAGTTGATAAATGAATGTGTCATTCTAAGTAAAGAGGAAAGCACTGGAGTAACCCCTTTTTCCCTTTTGTTGATAATGCCAGATTTAATCTCTTCAGGATTGTTCAAAAGAAAACTATGATATTGATGAACTGAAGCTACCTGACATTTTATTCTCAATTGACTTCACAGAGGAAATTATTTTAGCATTTGATGATATACTAAAAGTGATGCAGTTCCAAATGCTGCAAATGTAAATAACACCAAATACTATCTAAATGCAATAATTCCTGATTGGATAGATTTTAAAAGCAATCGTACAGTGTGCTATAAATTAGGAATGCTAAGAAAATAAAATCATAAATCAAATATAGCGCATGGTAAATTTATCTTTGTTTAAAAAACAAGGAACTTCCTTACTAACAGTACCATGAAGTTTAAAATCTCTATTATTTTTTAAAATCTTTAAGTAATTTTTAAAAGGTAAAATAATAATAATCTGTAATTTTTATTTTTTTAAAATTATTTTCCTCTTTTGACACATTTTGACACAAAATAATTTATATTTTGGTCAAATGCTCATGAAATGTTCTAAATCATGCATATGATACAAGAAAATGAATTTGCTTTCTAAATATACAGATTTTATTAAATAATTTCATGTTTTTTTTCCCCCTTCTTTGCACGTGATCACTATTTTTTTTAAATGCATTTTTATTTAAATAAAAAAGCATGATTTTGTTCACAACTTCTAAGTATTGACACTGCGTTTAAATATTTTTAGAAACCTCATGCATTTCCCCACAATAATATATATAACATCATGAACTTTAGACAAGGATTCTAAAAGTTATTGACTCTTTTGTAAGGTCACTAGAAATCTCATGAAAAACATGCAAAATTCAAGGAATGTAAAGAGTTAAGCACCCAGATCTAAACATTGTCATCCGATAGTAATTGCTAATTCTTAAAATGTTCTTTTAAAATGTGGTCTAAAACATAGAACATGTTTACATAGTGAGAAAGTTTTGGGCATTTTAGTTATGGCAGTACCTAATGCTACTTCTAGGCCTACAAGGTCGTTGCTTAATTTCCATACATTGAATAATAAAACCTTGGGGCTGACAATTCTATTAATTAATTAGGTTTTAAATTTATATAACATTTCTAAGCCAGATGTTAAGCAGGATTCCTTTCAAATCTAAATAGATGTCCATGTGAAGCATTAGAAACTGATTTACAAAAGCAATTTTGGAGCAAAAGTTTACTTTAAAAAATCTAAGCCATTATAAATTTTTTTGTCCACCCAACAAGCTCCCTCAGAAAGCTTCACTTTTTAAACCAATAATTTTTGTTAAATATTTGTATCCATTTGCAGTGCCTAGCTATAGTATATAGCATAGTGTATTGTTAACTGCTAATTCTCAAATTCTCTACAGAGAACTGTAGAACTTTGAAGGTAAAAAAAATTACTTATTACCTGCCTAAAATTCCACAATTCTTTTTATTTAAATAAAAGAAAATCAAGAAATCCAAAGTGATTCAATTTTAAAATGCAACACCACTCATTATAGATGTGTGAGACTTAGTATGGGGTGCAAGAAAACAATGGTAAAAATAAATCTAAACGAATGCCTAGTTAAGAAATGGTTGAAAGACCTTGATTGAAACTAAAACTCAAAAATTTGATATTTTTTCCCACTAGTTTACATTGAAACAAAATTTATGAATTTTACAGCTAGTGCTCGACTTACAACCTTGATCTGTTCTGACAGACCGGTCGTAACACAATTTTGTCATAAGTTGAGTGCGCTATGTGTACAGTAATGTGATTAAAATATTTAAGTTAAATTGTATCATAAATTACTATTATTATTGTTATAAATCAAAATTTTTGATGTTCATTTTATGCCATTTGTATAATCTCTACACCCTTTTGTTTCTTATTTATACATCATCAGCATTAAGAAAAATATTGTATTAACTGTACATGTACAACTGGTTTAATATTTGCAAAACATACAAAATACAGGTGTGGAAAATACTATAGGAAACATTTTCCCAGTCGCAAAACACATCAAATTGTCATTAACATCAAAATATATGAACATGTACGAAACATTTATTGGTCACTGGTGCTTGGCTGCAGATCATTAATGTCATCTAAGGCAGCAGTTGGGGGTACCAAAGTTGGTTTTTTCATGAACACAGTGAGCTTTGTCTGAATTCAATGGACCTAGGGTTGAGTGTGACCGTGTTATGTCTTAGAAATTGATGTCACGGCTATCAGCATGGCACCATTATAGCATCATGGCCCCTTTTCTTAGTTAACGACTGCCGATGATTGCAGACAATGCTGTTTGGCTGATAATTGATGCAGAAATAATTCTGAAATCTAATACGGCTAGTGATTGTGGTCGTAAAGTCCAATGGTCGAAAGTTGCATAAGTCGTAAGTCGAAATACTACTGTATATCAAAGGGCTCAATAGATATAAATATTTTTTTTTTAAAGTATGTTCCTTGTTACAATTGTATTTTTGTTCTGACAACACTGCATTTTTCCAGAGTAATTTAGAAAGTTACCCAATATATCATGGTTACTATTGGCTGCGCAGGATAGGATAAACAAATGCTATGAAAAGATCAGCAGTAAAGTTGTAGGAGACTAACAGAAGAGTAGGCTGGTTTGATAATGAATGCAGAGAGGCTGTCGAAGAAAGGAATAGGGCACAAATTGACCATGATACAAAGGGAAACCGAAAGACAAGACAAATATACAATGCCAACAGGAAAGCCACGAAAAATGGGTAGGAAGAAAAAGGGAATGGGAAAAGCTAAACTAAAAGAAATAGAGGACTTATCAAAAGAGGGAAATAGAGAAATGTACACGAAGATGAAATGGAAGATAGTTAAGTACTGGAGAGGAGGGCAGAATATTTTGAGGGCATACTAAAAGCAGACAATGGACAAGATGAAGATTATCAACCACCAAGAGAAGCACTAGAATGGGAAAAGCACTGTTAAAACCAATACACAAGAAAAGTTACAAACTTCAATGCACAAACTACAGAGGAATTTCTCTATTAAATGTTACATAAAAAATACGGACAAAACAACCATACATTGAACAAATACTAGCTGACCACCAATGTGTATTCCGACAAAACTGATCAAAAACTGATCAGATTTTCACCATTAGCTGCCTATTAGAGAAATGTTACGAATATATACATGTACATCAACTCTATGTCGACTATAAAATGGCCTATGACAGATTCAAAAGAAACTATTTATATGAGACTCTGCTGAAGTTTGGCATACCCAACAAACTGACAAGACTGATACATGTAACACTCA